GGACGCGGGGAAGCCCGAGGGTCTACCCCGAGGTCTCCCCGTCCGGCCTTCAGGACTTCGCTGGGGCGCGTTGGGCAGGGCTTGGTGGAAGATCCCTATTGCTCCCGGAGGGTGTCATCTCCTCCCGGGACACAAATGAGTTCCGCAGCTTACCCAGGGAAAGACGCGGGTTTGGGCACCATCTCCTTTCCCAAGCTTTGAACAAAACTCGGGTCCTAGGGCGCATGCAGGTTGCGTTTGGCATTTTGCCAGGCACGAGCATTGGCCGGTACCTTCGGGAACGTCTCCAAGCCGGGATTCCGAACTACAGCGCTCAGGTCTAGGCGCAGGGAAGGCGAAGCCCTGCCTCCTGGGTTTCCCGACCCAACCCCGGCGGCCCGCCGCGGCTGCCTGGGTAGAGAGCCTCCCCACTGGGTTGAAACTGAACTTGCCCGAGCCTGATTTGTAACTCTTATTTGTTAAACTCTTGGTGTCTTGAAACATATGCCCGTTTGGAATAGGCGTCTCCAACCGGTAGTGCATCACGGCAGAATAATAGGTTTTAGCTCTTTCATGTTAATTTCTCGCTCATTCCTGCAGTTAGAAAAAAAAAAAAAGAAATAGGCAAAGCCCTCCCAGTGCTGGTCTTCCTCCTCCCAGACCATACTGATTATTAGCATGGTTGTTTCCACAATAGAATCTTCACTCTGGGGGCATTCAGGGTCAGAGATGTTCTTGCTTCCTAACACATTCAGCTTTTGACAAGCAAGGCCAGCCCCTAAGTGATGAAGAGGTTAAATTGTTACTGGTTTCTGAAACCTTCCGATTGTACTATACACTGGCCGATAATCTGCAGATAATCTGACCTCTTTGGAGTGGCCACTGGAGTTATGGCTCTGTTTTTGAGGTCTCATACTGTACTTGGCATGCATTCAAGCTGGCTTTCAGAGATGAGAAAATTGAGGTTTTAAACGTGAGGTGAATGGCTAGCCCTGAGTCATGCAAGGAGAGAGAGGATGCTTCCCATCTTTCCGGGGCTTCCCGGACCAACGTGGACCTGAAAAAAGCTGTTTTCTGACTGTTCTGAATCTCAAGAAAGCTTTGTGAATCTTTTATTTTTGTTTTGAGATACTTTCCAATTTGATGCAATACTTTTCATGCATAGTGATTACATCGCAGATATTTTGGGGCATCGCCACCAGTTCTTTGAAAGCCCTGTGAACCTTTCTGTCAGTCCAAGTAGCTAAGTGAGAGCTCTGAAAATTATCACCAGTACTCAGGTGGGCCCTGTAAAAGGATTATTGGTATAGCTGATCTTGTGGCAAAATTTAATGACTTCTTTCTAAAATTCCCCTGTCAGGACTTTGGAAAGAACCCAATCCTGGCCATTCATCACAGAAAAGTTACCTTCTGCTTTCTCGGGACTGCTTGAGACATCACTGTGGTGGGTCTTAAGACAGTGAGGGGGTGATGACACTGTGACTTCATTCGTATGGAGTGACTAATAAGCTTGCATTTAAAAAATTCAGAGACCAGCAGAAACTTGGCTCTTTGTTTGAGCAACTAGGAACTGTTTTTACTCAGCATTTCTGACATCAAATGTACGGGGTTGGTTGGAATGCCCTCCCCTCCCACCCCCCTTACACTAAAAGGTGGCAGTTTGATTCCCAGTCAAGACACATCCTCAGATTGTGGGTTCCATTCTCACTCTGGGCCCATGGGGGAGGCAACTGATCACTGTTTTCTCTCTTTCGCCCTTCCTCTCTAAAAATCAATAAAAATGAATGAATGAAAGAATAAATAAGTAAATAGGGTCCCCACTTACCCCAGGCAACCAATTACTCTATTCTCTGGACACCAAACGGATATCCAGCAATTCAATTCAATTCTGACACTAACCATCTGGAGTTAGGAGTTAGTATTCCACAGGTTAAGGGCTTAGTTCCACAGGACTGGGCCCTTCCATACCCCACCCCCATTTCAGCTACCATTCACAAGACCTGGGCCTCCCATATGGGGGATGAAGATCAAATATATATGTCTTTTTATATCACAGTACAGCAGCACCAGCTATGTGCCAGGAGCTGGAGATGTGGCAGTGAGCCAGATAAATGTCCCTGCCCTCAGTGGTCATCACAGCTGGTGGGGAGTGCAGGGTGTGGGAATGAGAGATTCCATGTTTGGCCTGAGTAATTGGATAGATGATGGTGTCATTTATTGAGATGAATAGGAGGCTGATAGATAAGAGGACATTTGGCAAGGAAAACCCATAGTGGTTTTTTGGCTCTGCTACATATTTATTTATTTAGATTTTTAGAGAGGGAGGGAAAGAAAAACATCAATCCGTGGCCTCCTCTACCCACCCCTACGGAATCAAACCCGCCACCTTTCAGTGTGTGGGATGATGCTCCAACCAACTGAGCCACACTGGCCCGGGTTTTGCTACATTTGAGATGCCTATTAAAAAAACTAAATATCCAAATCAGGAACACATCAGGAACAGTGTGTAACCCAGAAAAGAGCCTGGCTTTGGACTCGGGTCTGAGTTTGATTTGCAAAGTCTGGACAATGAGGGCTGGTGTGACTGCACGTGTTACTTATTCTCTTTTAACCTCAGTTTTCCTCAACTGTAGAATGGGCGTGATAATACTTCTTAGGGTTATGAGAATTTCATGTGATAACAGTCTCTAGTACAAGGTTTGGCACAGGGTAAGGAACTCCCCAAATCTTAGTTTGTTAGTGGCCATTGTCCTGGATAGTCTTCAGGTCATCTTATTTATTTATTTAAAAATATTTTTTTTATTGATTTCAGAGATGAAGGGAGAAAGAGATAGAAACATCAATGATGAGAGAGAATCATTGATCAGCTGCCTCTGCATGCCTCACACCGGGGATCAAGCCCACACCCCGGCATGTGCCCTGACAGGAATCGAACCATGACCTCCTGGTTCCTAGGTCGATGCTCAACCACTAAGCCATGCCAAACTTGCTTATTTTATTGTTCATTGACTTTGATACACACTTAGGTTTTGATTAGGCTTTTGGTTAATGGATGCTAATGGAAGCAGACATTAGAGGAGAGAGATCACTCAACACATTCTGGGTACCCAGCACCCAGGTAGGCCTCTGGGAACTGGATGTTGAACCAAGACCTGCTTGCTCTCTTGGAACTTATGGGGTAATTGGAAGATGCAAGTGTGGGGGAAGCTAGCTATAGAAAATGATAGTACATACTGTCATAGGGGAAGTGAGAGGTATAATTGAGACATTCTAGACAGCCCTTCCAAGGCAAATCAAGAATAAGGCTTGGCAGGGTTTACTCTAGCCAAGCGTAAACAGTAATGGTGATAAGAACAATAGCTTACGTCTATTTCATGCCTGCAGTGTGCTGTCTGTTTTTATCTACTTTGTGTCATCCATTCTTCACAACACACCTAAAAGGTGGGCAATGTTTTAATTAGCCTCCTTCTGCAGCAAGACAAAGACATTCACTTGACTGATTTTTGATGGTGGAGCAAAGCCTTGAACACCGTTCCACCTGAGAGTTGGAGCACTTGACTACTGTCCTGATTATTCTTACTACAGTATACATAAATGATAAGGAGTATCACTTGCTCATTGTCGCTGATAGTGGACCTACCTCAGTTTTACACTGAATACCAAGAACCTACCAAGCTTATTTTATTTTTTCATTGACTTTGATATACACTTAGGTTTTGATTAGGCTTTGTCTCCACATTTTTTATGCTTTCTTGGTGATTAGGCCGTTTTGTTAGATATTGGTGGTTGCCAGTAGTAATGGGTGGACGAAGTTTAGCTTCTTTCTCATGATCTGCTCCAACTTATAAAGAAAGCAGGTCTCAGACCAAATTCTGCCACACATGCAGACATAATTGGCAGGCAGCAGCCTGACCCGAGACCTCATGAAGTCCCAGCCCTTTGCCCTCCTTGGTGCACCGACACACAAGTTGCCTGTTCACCTGAGGCAGGTGGGACACATTCTAGTGGGAAAACTTGTCTGAGACTGCCAGTCAGCAGGACCACATGGACGGATCAAGTCCGTGCTGCCATTCTCAGGCTGACGACTCAGTCTGCCCTCATAGCCAGTTCAGAAAGAATAGGAATGCCCAAGGCCCAGTGATGGCGAACCTATGACACGCGTGTCAGAGGTGACATGCGAACTCATTTTTTTGGTTGATTTTTCTTTGTTAAATGGCATTTAAATATATAAAATAAATATCAAAAATATAAGTCTTTGTTTTTCTATGGTTGCAAATAGCAAAAAATTTCTATATGTGACACGGCACCAGAGTTAAGTTAGGGTTTTTCAAAATGCTGACACGTCGAGCTCAAAAGGTTCGCCATCACTGGCCCAGGCTAAGGTATTTCCAGTTGGATCATATTACTTGATCACTGAGATTTTCCCCAATGAAAGCCCATTTCTAATGTTTGTTATGTTAATTAACAAAGCCACAAATGCCACCTGGGACTACCCATTGTCCAAGATAAATAAAGCCAGGCTTTAAAGCACTGAAACATATTTTATTTTGTAATCACTGATAGAAGGGGAAAAAGCCTCGCTCCATTTTGACTTCCATGGAGGTGACTGAGAGTTTTAAAGAGAGAATGAGGGAGTGCAGAGGACAAGCAAGTGGGGGCTCGAGTAGTATTAGGGAAGCACGAAGTTTCAAAGGGTTGGGCAGTGTACACATGATTAGGCCAGCTGTGTCTGCTAGCAGGCAAGTTAGGATTCTCTCCTTCCACAGAGACTGGGAGATTAATCCTACCCACTTGATGATTATATTTCAAAGGCACGGCTTTTGGTTTCTTGAGAAAGACACTCCTGCACTGTAGGAATACATTTTGTACATGTCAAAGGGACAGGAAGGGATTCACAGTTGTAAGCCCCTTTTAATAAATGCTTTAAGAAAGGGAGGCCTGTCCTACGTGTTGACTAGAACAAACAGTAAGTTTCTTCTGACAGCTCCGAGCTTTTCCAGACAAGAACTCAAAAGGCAAAAGGTGGCTGGGTTATCCCAGGGTGCAGCCTTAGGCTGCTAGAGGCCACGGTAAAGTTTGGTCAAGTCTCTTCACGCAGGGGTTTGGGCGGAGTTGTATGTGCCAAGAGTTCTCGCAGATTCCACTGGTTAACAGACCCTGGGTTATTCAAGTTCGAGGTACCTGAAGCTCATGCAGGAGACGGCTTTGAGGGTGGCCTGAGTTACTGTTAAATGTTAGCTGGAATGGGTTTTCCTCATCAAGGCAACTGACCACCTCTCGACTGTAGCTTAAAATAGACACACACACACACACACACACACACTCACACTCCATGGAGACTTCTTTAAAGGTTAAAAATTACACACCACACAAGAGTAAGGCTTTCCCTGAAATTCTTTCCTTCTTTATATCACCCAAATCTCTACTTCTAAGGCCAACCTCAAGAAGCATTTGCTCAGCAAGGTCTTTCCTTTGTTTTGAAAGTTCTCCTGGAACTTGCACTTAGACCTGTGCACATCACCTCGTACTTGGTCCTCTGAAGC